TATTTAATAACTCTTGTTCATCTGCATACATTTCTACGATGATTGGTGAATGATGAATCGGAAATTATGTGGAGGGAAGCGATGTCAGTCTGTCTCAATGCACTAACCCAGTTACTGGTGTAGAAACTGGCAAAGGTCGTTTGAAATGGGGGCCTCACCGAATGCGAAGTCGGTGTCTTCTGGACGCTGTAGGCGACTTGATCTTTAATGCTGGAATACACATGTGGAAATGTCTCTGTTTCTCTTAACACTTTATATGTCTGTGTGACGACGGGTCCATATGAACAGGATCCTTCCATCCTTTTCTCGGACTGGAACCTGTTCATATACGTTCTTGGCAGATGATCCAGAAGTGGTTTGCCATTGCCTTCTTCTGTGTGTGAATGGGATGCCACGGAGGAAAACTCCGTGTTGCCTAGACCACGGCCTTGCCCAACACAAGTTATAAATTCGGGCACCGCCGGGAATCGAACCCGAGACCCCAGGATTACAAGGCCAGCGTTCTAACCGCTAGACCACCGTGGCTCCTCTGTTTGTATTAACACTTTATGTGTCTGTCTGATGAGAACGCCGTTCTAATTAGACCGGCCCGCCGATCACATATGCTCAGCGCGTCCGAACATCAGCTTCAATATCGCATATCAGGAGACTGGCTCCTACCGGACTGCACGACGTCCCAGAGGACAGAAGCTTTCGAAACTTTGTCGTCAGAGTAATATTGGTTGATGTGACATAGGACTACTCTTCTCTCTCTCTCTCTCTCTTATTTTTTTTACGCTTACAACTGAAGAGACAAGCTTGACTTTCCTTTCCAGTGAGAAAGACAAACAAAAACATAAGACAGCATTTCCCATGTCCATTACGTGTCACCTAACCTTTCACAATTTCTTATTTAGACATCGACCAGACTACACAGCGCAACAACCCAGAAGACAGAAATCTTATTTTGACATTTTTGCCAATTCTGGGAATTTTTGTAATTTTTCAAAATTTTTGAAACAGTTCAAATTTTTACAAATTTCTTCTTAGAAATGTTTCATGTTTTTAGGTTTATAGCCAGTTTTGGAAATTTTTCTCTTTTCAAAATTTATAAAACTATTGAAAGTTTGAAAAAAAATTGAGTTTAGAATTTTTTTAAATTGTTAATTTTTTTTATTTTAGCCAATTTTGGACATTTTTGTAATATTTCGAAATTTTTAATTTTTCTTATATTTACAAACCGTTTTTGTTTCTCAAAGATTTCCGAAAAATTTTAGGTTTTAGAAAACTTTTGCTGTTCATTTATACGTCACAGAGATAGTGTCTTGGAACACTGAGATGTGCAATCGGATTTTTGTCACGTGACGTGGCGGTCGCGGGGTTTACGGTGTCGTTAAATAAGCAACGTCCTAGGAACTGCGGTTTGGTTCTGTGGCTCTACGTTGAAGTCAGAAAAACCGACAGTGACAGGTTTTAGGCGAGAAAGTCTGCGGTAACCGAAGCGTCAGAGAGCAAGGAGGGAGGGACGCCATTAAGGTGCTACTGGCGATCGGACCGAGTCTCTTGGGGGGCGGGGGGGGGGGGGGGGAGAAGGTGAAACTTCACATTTGCGTATTGTTAAAAAGTGCTCTTTGTTTCTGAGTTGGAAGATTTACACCTTATTTGTCGGCGTCTTGCAACAAGACTTCTAAGGTGCAATGATTCCTCGCGCGTTGGTGTTTTGAATGTTGGTAGCCCTGTTTTACCTAGTCCTTAAAGGCACTGACGCATTTTGACGCTACCTACAGAACGTAGACTGTTGAAATGACGTCGTTGAATAATGAAGTGGCCTTTCTGGGTCCACATACCTCGAAGCTGACCACCGTTCTCTGTCGATTGCAGGGATAAATAAGGCATTTAATAATTTCCTTTGCGCTCTCTGTATGAACGCCATGTTAAATAACGTTTAAACACATGGATTTCGTGTAAGCCTGTCGCTCTCTCTAGTGAAGGTGTTTTCAAATGAGAATGTCCCTGTTTAAAATGGCAGTCGGTAGATGGCCGAAGAAACTAGTTAATATTAGTTGCATGACCGTGGATAGATGGCAGCAGAGGGAAAGTACGTTTTGAAAAATGTAGATTAATTAACTAACTAACTAACTAGATGGCTTAGGGAACCCGAAGGTTCATCACCGAACTAACCAAAGCCCTCCACTGGACCCTGTCCTGGGCCAACAAAATCCAGTCTCCTTCAACTCCTATCTCCCATAGATCCCGCCTGAGATTATCCTCCCATCTACGTCTAGGTCTCCCCAGAGGTCTCTTCCCCTCAGGCTTCCCAAATAGTGGACCCAACCAACCAGATGGCTTAGGGAACCCGAAGGTTCATCACCGAACTAACCAAAGCCCTCCAC